CACACGTCCCCAGCCATCCACCACCACCAACCCTACAGATATCTTAAATACTCTGTTTAGCCCAGCTAAATGGGACCGATTTTTCGTGATCCCTGCTACAGCTCCTTACTCAGGCAACACTCTTCTCTTTCAACAATGCCTCCAAAAACAAGTAGGCAGAGTCCCTTTTTATACCAGACGCGATTGCTCCCGTCTGGTAACAGTCAGATCAGAAACTGAATCTAAAGCACTATCAAATTTAACTGATCATTCTGGCAACCCCATTCCTGCAGAACCTCATCCAACCCTTAATACCTGTACCGTAACTGTCTCTCTCTCCCCAGCAAACTGCCCAGTCGATACCAAAGATTGGTCAGACTGTGGAGAAGACTTATTAGGATGCCTCAAAGACCAAGATGTGAAATCAGTACGTTGCTACAACATTCCTCCTCAAGGTCAACGATCTACATCTCTCAGACCAATTCCTTTGCCACTCTAAACCCAGACACCCCAATCTCAACCACAGCTCCAATCTCAACTACAGCCCCAACACCAACCCCTCTTCCTCACCGCACTACCCGCAGTAGACAGACTAAACGTTCTAACCCTTCTTCCCCTACAGCACAATCACCTCCACCTACCTATACCTTTATTCCTGAGACACCAGTCTCCTCTCCCCCCCCTCATAAGAAAACCTTTATCCCACAAAACTCTCCAACCAACTCCATTGCAGAAACAATGGATGACATTCAAAGCTATATGCTTGAGACACAAGATCCCATAAAACATGTTCCTTCCACACTTAAAGTTGTTTCCGATATTCATACCCCTCCTACTAATATTCCCCCTACACCCCTTCCTCCTACTCCCTCTCAACACAACCTAACCCCCTCAATTCCGTCCACCTCCGATATCCATCCTCCTGATATCCATCCCCCTCTTACAACACCCCTACACCCCTTCCTCCTAATCCCTCCAAAGACAACACACATCCCCTTCAACTCAAACTATCCATCCTTCCGATATCCACCCTCCTACCACTAATACTCCCCCCACATCTACTCCCAACACAACCCACCCCCTTCAACCCCAACTATTGGCACATTCTCCCTCCCTCCATCCCTTTTGCACTCCCTCCCGGATACACACGAGAATCACTCATGTCACAACAATGCCCGTCCCCAAATTCCCTACCTCCTAATACCCCTCCTTCACACCCCCTAGCTCCTTCTCCCCCAGATTCCCCAATACGTACCGTATGCGATATCACGCATAAGCTATAGCTCTCCTACATTGGAATATTCGCGGTTTCCGTTCTCATAAACCAGACCAACGTCATATCCTTGCTTCTTATAATCCATCTATTATCTGCCTCCAAGAGACTTTCCTCACACACCCTCCTATTCCAATTCCCAATTACCATTTTATCTATTCCCCACACTCCCTTTATGTCTCGTCTATACTTATCCATCATAAAACACCTTGTGTCATACCTCCCATACAAACTTCTGTCCCGTGCACAGCTATTCGCATATTTCTTCGCCGCTGGCTCACAGTGATTTCAGTCTATTTCTCCCCATCCCATCCCATTGACTTTACTGCCTTTGAAACTCTAATTTCCCAACTCCAACCACCTTTCCTCGTAGTTGGTGATTTCAACTGCCGCCACACTCTGTGGGGTGACTATGCCGCAATGTCCACATCACCTCAACTACGCTCCTCACATATTCCAGCTACGGATTATTACCCCCACTTTAAAACCTTCTTGTATACTGGATGGCAATCTTTTTTGTCAAGACCACAACAATAAATTACATATAGTAAAACCTTCAATCTCCTCTTGGTCAGCTCCATTTCACAAAAACAGACGTTGGGAGACGGCCCTCGCACGCTTACGTATTGGCCACACTCGCCTATCTAATGTCACGCTCAGACCCGTCCCTATGTCCTTTATGTAACGTCCCTCTTTCAGTTCCACACATTCTCTTGTCCTGTCCACATTTTAATACTGCACGTACCTCTGCTTTTCCACACCTATCCTCCCAACATAGACATCCTTACAGAATCAACCTGTTCTCCTTCCTCAGACGCATGAATATCCTTCACTTGATCTAACTCCCTTACCTGAACCACCATAACCTTTTCCCCCATCAACCTTTCAATACTAACTCTAGATAGTTGACACATAGCAACTATCACCTGACATCCCCCTTTACTATACCTTCCTATAGTGCTATATGACCTTAGATGTCTAGTACATTTATTTTAACCATTAATTAACCATTACCCTGCAGTTATATTTAAGCATCATTTCCAGTGTCTTGACACCATTCTCATAACAAAAATTTTAAGGGCAGTCATATAAAGAGTTCTAAACACAAGGTTGTGGATACCACAAGCTTGGCAGACCTGTTACTAAATTAGTTCCCTGTGTAGGCCAAGAACTTACCTCTGATTCCCCAGTAGATCAGTTTTCTCCAGAATTGTTAGATGACTTACCTTTTCAAAAGCCTTCTCCAGGTCAAGGAACACAGCTACTGATGTAAGAGTGTTGGTGGTGCTCAATAGGGTGTTTATGCTTAAAGCTGTATGTGAACTCATAAAGGTTTTCCTGTTGCCAATGTCTTGGCCAGACAGCTGAGGAGAGAAATAGTGATATGTCTCCTGGACTCCATAGGTTTTTGAACAAGTATTATGCCAGCTCTCTTCCCATTTTGGGGGACAGTTGGATTCTCTCAGAGAATATCAGTGTTCACCTAGTCTTACATTACATCTTTAGCACCATTAAGAAAAACATGGCATCTGAGTCAGCATTGCTTACCCTGCCTTTGATGAGGGCAAGTCTACCAGCTCTAAGGCATTCCTGACTTGTTCTCAACCCTGCTGGGAGATCTTCACCACCTCTCAAAATCTGAAGCCTCTGTCTGTCTGTTTCTGATTGTGGTTCATAATGTACATTCCTGCGGGCTAAGTCTGCATGACATGGTGCCACAGCTCTTTAAGGGATGTTTAGTGGCCAAAGGACCCACACTATTCCAAACACTGTTCCTGCCTGACCCATTTGGCAGTTTCCTTGGCACCCTTATAAACCTCCTTCAGGAGAGCTTGATTTTCGGGGGTTCTCTGCCTTCTTAAATGCTTCTTGGAAATGGTGTCTCAATGGCAGACCTCCTTATCATAGCATTGTGATACAAAGAGTCCTTGTGATCCCTGGACCATTTTCAAATTTTAGGAATGGTATGTGAAGCTACAAGGTTTGACTAGTTTGGACAATCTGTGGGGTCATGGTAACCAAGTGATATCTATATCACACTATTGACATTTGTATTCTAATGTCATTATGTATTTATTGTTCTCTGCACAATATAATATTTCATGTGATTTATTTCATCTTATATGTTTTTTTTTTATGTTTGCTACACACACACACACACACACACACACACAGAGAGAGAGAAATGCATGCATATGTGTATGCTCGTCTTTTCTCCTGTGTATTCATCTGTTTCTGTCTCTCGAAACACCCGTGTCGTATGGTCTTTCTCCTTCCAAGTGTGTTCTGGGTTTCTCCATCACCAACTGTCACTTGACAAATACATGCTATTATAGCTATTCTTAGACCACCGTACAATATAACTGGCAGAATCCTTGTTGTGAGCCAAGGGGCAACACCTCACTCGGAGTAGGTGCAGCCTCACTCCTACATCATTACTTCTTTAAACCAATCTTTCAAGTTGCAGTTTATGCCAGTTACTCTGTCTGTGGCAAGGTGTTGGCTCCCTTCTGTTAACCTCAAAGATGTTTGTGATCATGTTCCGATCTAATGTAGGTTGTGCCCATTGGCTGACGAATGATCAGATATTGAAATCCCTGTGTGATACGTTGTTTTTTAAGTTCTCTATAGGAGAGTGTCCAACCCTACAATTGGTGAACCAGTCCCTCCCCAAGTCCTATTAGGTCATCTTGACATCCCTCTTGTGTCTGGGCCACAAGAAGGATGCAGCTGTGGGAATTCGGTCTCTTGAAAGCCTGTCAACTTGGTGATAGGGGAGCCTGCAGAAGTACTCCCGTTTGGTAGGACTCAAATTCCTCCTTCTCCAGCGCCTGTGGAGTTGAGTCTTGACTGTGACCGTCAGGTAGCTTTGGGCCCTCCTTCATTGACAGTTGAGACATCCCTATCTAGCGTCCTTAACTCCCTGGGTGACCTATTCTCCCGGTCTGAACCTCACCACAGATACACTGGACTGAGCCCCGACAGGCCTTCCGACTCCATTCTGTCTAACACCAATGTGGCCTTTCTCTCCCCATCAGGAAACCTCACCTAAAAGAAATGACGATCCATTTCATCCCGAACAACATGGCAACCGGTCATTTTATCAACAGGTAATGCTCTCCGTACTATTCCTCCCTCTCAGGACTTCCAAGGCCCTGTGCTACTGGTGGGAGTCCGTGTCTTGTATTTGATAGCGAATCAGTGGCTAAGGAGACGAATCCCTCCATCCGTCATCGGTGCCTCCTTACCAGCGACAAAAAGGAAGAACATCAGTGGCCACTCTGACTGCACGAGACAAAGTGATTTGACATGGGCTACTTTCCGGAACTCTTTATAAACCTGCAAAACAACTCGGATCATACCGAAACAGGTCTGCTGTTTGTCTCATGGATCTTTTGCCTCATGCTGGCCAATCTATGGTAAAATTCTCAGCCCACCTTGCAGCGATTGCAAGCCCTCTATGGTATGCCTGTAAATCCCAGAGCTCCCTTAAGCTTGTAGAGCAACTGTCCCTAGAAACTGTCCTCCACCGAGCCCTGCTTCTGGAGGCTCACTCTTACTGCTGGTCGCTCACATGTTCTTACCCTCTTTCACTTACACAATCTTTGCCGAGACACCTGTCTTTTCGCAGCCCCCACCCCACTTCTCTCTCTCAATCCCTCCCCCCCCCTCTCTCTCTCTCCCTCTCTCTCCCTCCTTCCCTTATTTCTCTTCTTATTTGATAAGCTCCGCCTTCCTTCACATACACGCGTTTCGGTGGGGTTTGGCACAGGAAGTGATCACGTGATGCTAAAACATTACTGCCATGGATGCCTCGCTCCAAAGACCATAGCTTACAGAGGTGCCATTTGAATACATTAACAAATATGCTTACATGCTTCTTATGCTAGATTTTCATTATAGGTGGTGGTGGTGGCAGCAGCAGTAGTAGTAATAGTGATATGAATATTAGTTTTTATAGTAGTAGCATTTCGTTGTTACAGTAATGATGATGATAATAATCATTTTTCAATAAGATAATTAAGGTAATAAATGATGATAATAGCAATGATAATAGTCCCCATAATATAAAAATGACAATGATCACGATCATAAGTGATTAACATAGTCGGCGATCCTAAAAATAATATTTACTCTATTAAGAATAATACAATATTATCATTATATCCTTTAGAAATATGTCTGTATATGCATGCATACTTGTGTATGCGTGTGTGAATTCTCTCTCTTTCCAATCGCATGTATCCGCGTGCCCTGACTTCGACGAGGCTGGCCCGAATGAGCACCTTATGCAGGCTCGGCACCAAGTCAAAGAATGCGCCCTCCCGCACGCACACGCGTGCCCGGGCGTACCGTTAATTGACCGTTCATGTCTCCATTAAGATCGGTTTGGAATTGAACACTGATACACTATCTCAGACTGAAAAGCAATAACAGGGTGGTTCCTGGAGTGGCCAATCACTGCAAGTCCACATACACACACCCGCACGAGCGCGCGCGCGCGCGCATACACACACATACACACACACACACACACAGGCTCTCTCTCTCTCTCTCTCTTACACACACACACACACAGGCTATCTCTCTCTCTCTCTTACACACACACACACACACACACATACATGCATACACACATACATGCAACACACACAGAAACGTAATGACAGAAATACATTTTTTTCGCTGAGCTCGAAAATAACTTCTAATAAGTGCGTACACCTTTTGCAAAGCGGTTGCTGTCTGACATCACCTCCCCCCCCACCTTCCTGATGATAATAGCAATGATAATAGTCCCCATAATATAAAAATGACAATGATCACGATCATAAGTGATTAACATAGTCGGCGATCCTAAAAATAATATTTACTCTATTAAGAATAATACAATATTATCATTATATCCTTTAGAAATATGTCTGTATATGCATGCATACTTGTGTATGCGTGTGTGAATTCTCTCTCTTTCCAATCGCATGTATCCGCGTGCCCTGACTTCGACGAGGCTGGCCCGAATGAGCACCTTATGCAGGCTCGGCACCAAGTCAAAGAATGCGCCCTCCCGCACGCACACGCGTGCCCGGGCGTACCGTTAATTGACCGTTCATGTCTCCATTAAGATCGGTTTGGAATTGAACACTGATACACTATCTCAGACTGAAAAGCAATAACAGGGTGGTTCCTGGAGTGGCCAATCACTGCAAGTCCACATACACACACCCGCACGAGCGCGCGCGCGCGCGCACACACACACACACACACATACACACACACACACAGGCTCTCTCTCTCTCTCTCTCTTACACACACACACACACAGGCTATCTCTCTCTCTCTCTTACACACACACACACACACACATACATGCATACACACATACATGCAACACACACAGAAACGTAATGACAGAAATACATTTTTTTCGCTGAGCCCGAAAATAACTTCTAATAAGTGCGTACACCTTTTGCAAAGCGGTTGCTGTCTGACATCACCCCCCCCCCCCACCTTCCTCCGTGTCGCAGGTGTCGGGCCATGGGGCTGAATTGATGTGAATTGAACCGAAGGGCAAGGTTCATTTGCGGAACACTTTAGCGACATTGCAAAAGGGAATCTACTTCTACTGTGCATAATATCGCGGGAATCATTAGTGAAATTGCCTGGTTTAAGTTCTCGAACAGCCACGTGAGATTTTTGGTAATAGACTGAGGCATTCGAGAGCGTCTATGCGACTCGGCGTCTAAGTGCCAAAAAAGTATCATAAAGGCAAGGTACAGTCAGAGAAAGCTGGAACTTTCTCAACTCCTTAATATCTGTGTGTGCACATCTATGGATATGTATATATATATGTATATATATATATATATATATATATATATATATATATATTGATAGATATACATATATATGTACACATACACACACACACACACACACACACACACACACACACACATATATATATATATATATATATATATATATATATATATATATATATTGTTGTGTGTGTGTGTGTGTACATATTTTAAACAACACACACACACACACACACATATGTGTGTATATACATACATATATATACATATATATATGTATATATATATATTATATATGTATACATATACATACACATACGTACGTGCGTGTTTATTTGTCTATATCTTTCCATGTATGTATGTATGTATGTATGTATGTATGTATGTATGTATGTATGTATGTATGTATGTATGTATGTATGTATGTATGTATGTATGTATGTATGCTTATTTATACCATGTATGTATTGTGAGTGCGTGCATGTGCTGGTACACATATACTCAGCTTATGTCAAAAGCTCGATTTTTTCTAATATACTTCTCCAGTACTGGGACTGTTCAAGGTCTGAAATATCCGCATTGGTTCGGTGTATATGTTTTTACTAAAATCTTCTAGCAAGTTTTTCCTTTCTAACAAAAACCAGTATTCACAAGAAATTCCATTTTTTTAATCTGATCCAATGCGGCATTGTTACGGAGGATATATTATATGGAAGATTGATATATGAGTCTTCATTAACACAAAAAAGATGGAAAATATACTATAAATGCAAATGGGAAACAAAAAGAAAAAAACAAAATCCTCCCAAAAAAGAGAATTACGAAGAATGAAAGGGAAAACCCGATAAAAGTTCCTCCGTGTTTCAGCCCTGCATGAACTGTCAAAGCCGCAGACGATGCTGCTGAAGTTGAGCAGCTCTCTCTGCTAATCAGTCCCCGATTTCACCTCCCGGGAGAGAGGAATCGGGTCTGCCCTTTGCGCTCGTGCCGCTGATTAGACAGAGAGAAGCTGACACCGCAGAAGACAGTCGCCTGGTCAAGAAACATGTGGGACCTGATAGGGAAAGCGGCCGTGGCCCTGGTGGCGGCGCGCCTCGGCTGGTCCGTCCTCAAGGGGCTCTATGGGTCCTTCCTGGCGGCGGCGTTGGGACTCAACCTGAAGGTCAAGAAGACGGGCGAGTGGGCAGGTGAGGCCAGGGGAAGCGGGGGAGCTAGCAGGGGCAACGGAGGGATAAAGGAGAGGGTTGGTGAGGCCAGGGAAGTGGGTCACGGGAGTGGGCAGGTGAGGCCGCGGGGGATAGGGACCGGGCAGGTAAATGTTTGCCGTCGGACAGGAAAGTGGGATTCTTTATAAATGAGCAAATCACCATAAGGGAGACATAGAAATTTTGGGCACACCCAGGCTTGGCAAATGAACTTATTGAAAAAAAAGTGACCGAGTTGATTACAATGCTAATGGATTGTCAGAGCATACTGTGCAGACTAGTGAAATTGCTGTAGACCAATTTTTTTCATATTTTTTGGATTTCCATGTGAAAGTGGAGTATTTGTTTACAACCAAACTATACCTGTCAAAGACTAATGAATAACCCTCATCCTTAACATACAAATAAATAAATGTGAATTCTTTACAGTATGGATGCACTTGCCAGAAACTGTCCAAACTCCATGTAACAAACTCTATTCATTTCTTAAATTACTGTGATTAGATGTGGCCTTCGGGCACTGCCTGAGGGCCAGACTATAGAGTATTTTGGTATAAGTTAAAGACCGCGACGCGCGTAGATAGAGGAAAATGGACACCGCCATCTTATAGAGCGGGAAAAATAGAAGGGGATAGCGTATAGTTTAAGATGCACCGGCCTTATTGTCATCTTGGTATGCATGGCAAGACAGCAGAAACTCGGGGGCACTGAGTGGACTTGGGGTGTGAGTGGTGCTTTCTGCAGTGTTTTTCCTTTATATGTGGTGTTACCATTCGTGCATTATTATTTCTTGATCTAAGTACTTTAACATTTTATCCTCTGCATTAATGTTATCTTCACTTTGCGCTAGCTTAGGGCATTCATACTAGAAAGATTTATTGAATAAACCCCATCCTAAACATACAAACTATCACAAAGATAGCTACAGTAACTGAAAACCTTCCACACATGAAACCCTTTGACCCCTAACAAGCACTGTACTTGAGGGCTCTGTTCCGAGCCTCGAAGACCATTTTTTCTCCCTAGCTAATGGGGTCCTTTTGTGTATATTAACCATGTGTAGTAATACAAAACTAGTAGACATGACAGTAATGATTTAGGTCAATCTTTATGGTATAGATGCTCCAAGCTAGTGCAAATTGAAGATGGTATTCTTGTAGAGGAGTAAAAATTGCAATTGTTAGTTACAAGAAATGCGAGCAGTAAAGCCACAAATAAGAGAAAAGAGTACAGAAAGGGCTGCTCACAGTCTGAGTCTACTTGGCGCTTCCAAGCTTCAGCTCTATCGTGCTGTGCATACCGAGGTAAAGACTTACGGCCGGTTCGTTAGAATTATGCCAGGCCCAACCCAATGAATTTTCTTAAGTAAAGACGCAGAAATAAAGGCCTATCTGTGTATGTATATGATAGATATGCATATAACTGTCTATTTGCCCGGTTGATATGCATGTCTAGACTGATAAATATGCATTTATTTCTTTATTATGCATGTCAAGTATACGAATATTCTTTGGGTTGGGCCTCGCACAATTCTAACAAACCGGCAGTATGTTTCCCATAGGGTGTTGGAGGGGGGGTAGGTAGAGCTTTCTATCAACCCTCACCTTGGGTAGTGCCCAAAACGCACATTCAGTGGCGGTAACTTAGATTTTTGGAATAAATTTTAACATGTGGGATTGGGGTCTTGTTCGCTGGCGAATGCATCCTTGAGTTATGTACTGTGCAGTTTTGATACTGGACTGTAATCATCATGAGGGAATTGGAAAAATAGGAAGAGATAACAAGATATTTAAATGCTATTATAATCTCACTATAATTACACCAGTTCATTACACTGTATAGAATGAGAATATATAATATCTGTTCATTTATAGTTTATCCGAACTTGTGATTTTCTTTTATGCCTAATGTTATTTTGGGGATACATCTAGTGCTTTGATTGATCTCTTTCGTGTTGCAAATGTATAGTTTTCAAGTTATGCCTCTTTTTTAACTATGCCTACCTGCTCATTCCTAATGATCTTGTGGGGACCTGTTTTTTTTTTTTTGGGGGGGGGCATGAAAGTGAGTAATATGCATTGCTAATGGTTCTTCTGATTTCTGTCTGTATGCACTACATTTCACCAAACCTTAGTAATTACTCAGCATTTTTTTCTTATTTTATGTACCTAAAGAAAGCTTGTTTTGGTGTTCCACTTGAGAAATAGGTATAACTATAGATTTCTAAAATGAAGTTGCAAACTTTATATTGATGTCTTTTTTCTGTCATTCTTCCATTGAAATAATTGAAATTGGTACAAGATGTTTTTTCAATCTTTGTCTTTTGTGTTGTGATTCTATTAGTTTGAATGTTTGTGATGAGAGTATTAGAATATTTTTTGCTTATGATCTAGTTTGTTTTTTACAAAGTAAGAGTTTGGAATTCATTACTAGTTCATTAGCAACTTCCACAAGCATTTTAGTGAGCTATAAGTTCTTTAGATCATAATGCTCTTTAATAGATGGACATTAGCTCTGATAGTCTGGTTATCTCATTTTGTACAGTATTGCATAAGACTGAAAGTAATATTTATTTTATGCTCTTAGATAGGTATAATACGTGGCGTAAGAGAGAACAAGTAATGCAAAAACTCCAGCCAGGCAAGGTCTCTAGGGCTATGAAGCAAAAACAAGTAAAGCATAAAAAGAGAGAGAAAAACAGAACATCCTTGATTTTTTTCCTCTCTCCTAGTAAAGGTCATGAGTTTTTTCTTCTATTTTTTTCTTGGCTCCCCTTTAGTGAAGCCTAATGATTATTTTCATATACAGTGAACCTTCGTTTTTCGCGGGGGTTACGTTCTAAAAAGAACCCGTCATAGGCGAAATCTGTGAAGTAGTAACCTTTATTTTTTTTACAATCATTATACAATTAAATACTCTGCAATACATTGAAACCAAAGAACAAAACCTTTTTACAGGCCCAAGCATTTGTTTAACAAATAAAAGTACTGTATAAACATTTTTTACAAATAACTACTGTACTGTAAAATAATAATTTTAATCATCAATACGAACTGAAGACTCCATGGGTTTTAGAGAAAATTTGCAAACTTAAATTTGGCAAGCTGTTTTACATACATGTACATATTAAACCTTAACGTTATTGACACACAGGTAGAGAAGAAGCGGAGAGACTGTTTAGTCAATCAGAATGCAGAACACAATGCACAATGCAAATCTGTGAAGCAGTGAGAACGCGAAAGGTGAACCGCGTTATAGCGAGGGTTCACTGTATATTTCACTCTTGCATTTCTTGTAATTTTATTTGTTCAATCTTTAACAATTTAACATTAATAAATTATGGTTCCCTTGCAGTTGTAACTGGAGCAACTGATGGCATTGGTAAAGCTTATGCATTTGAGGTGAGAACATTACTGACTGATATTTTGAAATGAGAAGATTTGTAGATACAAATGTTTATCTGATTTTACATTATAGTCAAACTATTGATCTTTTTACTTAAGAAATGATGATGGCATTTCAGCTGGCAAGGCAAGGAATGAAAGTTGTGTTAGTCAGCAGGACAGCTTTCAAACTACAGAATGTTGCTGCAGAAATTAGTAAGTATTGTGAGAATGTATTCATAAATGGATCCTAGTAAGCATTAATGTTATAGTAATCCGGTAAAGCATGGTCAATGATAAAAGATGTGTTAGTATTTGTATGTGTATAAATTTGCCCCTTTTTTCTAAAGTCTCTTAACTTTCTGTGTATCTCTCTCTTTGGTTATTATTCTTATCTTGCAGCCTGTGTCTCTGCTTATCTGTAAATATTTTTGAATTTGATCAAAACTAAACAAATTAGATTTTTAGGTATTATAGAAAGTGGTTATTCTTATCATTCTTATCATCAACCAGTTCTCATGACAAATCAAATTATGTGTATTTAAAATGGACTGAGCAGTCCTTAATCAGTGACCTTTGATCAGTATAGGGCACTTAGATTGCTGCTGCCATAGTGATACGAGCTCCAAGGTCATTCTGAGTAGACATGTGATTTGGCATATTTTTTGATAATGAGTAAACTTGCTGATCATCATTGCCTCCGGATGGAGTGTGAGAGGGGGATGTTAGAGGGGAATGTGAGAGGGGGATGTGTGAGGGGGAGGGGGAATAGGAAGTTGCACAGCTCTATTGTCTGGAACAGATATCAAAACAACTTCATGGGCACTTTTCTTTAATTTAGCAA